AAGGGGAAGCCGTCCGGAAAGGGAAAGAAGCATGGCAACGAGAAGTAGAAGACTGGCTCCTCACGCAACCTATCAGGTACGATCACCCATCATCTTGGCCCGATCTTATCTTAGAATTAAACCCTGATAGCGCTGTTCGGATACTGCACACTTTCGTGCCTCTTAACGTACTAGAGGCGAGTAGATATCGATCGTATGTACATGTAGGACCTGGTGTCCAAATAGATGAAACTTCTTCTTCGATTCTTCGTGAATTAAGTCTATCGTATAAATATATGTTCCCCACGCTTCAAAACTCTAAGTTATTGTTAGATGCGTATGAAGACTTCGCCGACAGGCTAAGATGGAAACTCCGCTTTATTTATAAAGCTTTCCATGGGAACTACGAAGACAGACCCTTTGACCCAGACTATCGGATTATTAAAGAGCGTGTGCCCTGTGATCCGATCCCTTACCAAGGAATAGAATCCGCCATTAGTGCCGGTCGCGACTATGTCAGGAATTGTACCCTGAGCGCTATACCGCCTAAAATCAACGAACTTGAAACCACAGTTCCACGAGGCCGAATCTACCGCTGGTTGATAGAACACAATTGCTTGGTTCTTCCAACGGATAAAAATCTAGGCGCTTGCGTCGTAACGGTTAACTGGTACAAGGATCAATGTATGCAACTATTAAGTAATAGACTAGACTATGAAATAATTGACGATGCAACTCGTCTAGCCATACTATCGAGACAACGAATTTCCATACTCGCGTTAAGCGACTTGGCGGCAAATGCTTTAGGGCACCAGCAGCTAAGTGCGTTCTTACAACAATTTATTGTTGGGGTGGAGGAAGGCGAAACTGAGGATGACGCTCATATGCGTGTTAAACTCCCAAAGTTTTACGGTATTCCAAAAATACATAAGGTACCGACCAAATTTAGGCCGATCGTACCTTGCCATTCTGCAATGCAGAACCCCGCTGCTAAATTCGTCTCAAAATATCTCAAACCCATAATAGAATCATCTCCATATATTCTTGGCGGGTCGAAGCAGTTAGCTCAGCTTCTTAATCAATTTAACGAGATATCAGGCAAACGTAAATTCTATATTGTCACCGGCGATGTGGTAGCTTTCTACCCCAACGTTCCTGTCGACAAAGGTATCGAGGCGGTCTTAGACCTATGGGACGAGCATTACGCTATTGATCCCGAACCTATTCCACGCCATATGCTCGAACTCGCATTAGAAGTTGCCTTAAATAACCTTATCGTCCAATTTGGCGAACAAACGTACAAACAAACCCGTGGCTTAGCCATGGGCGTAGCGTGCTCCCCCGATGTTGCAAACTTATTCGGGCATTTCCATGAAGCGCTCATTGTACCTAATCTTAACAAATTACTGTTCTATAGACGGTATATAGATGACGTGTTCGCATTAGTCGAAGCTAATTCAGAAATAGAAGCGTATAATTATATGCGCGATAATCTTGTTTTAGAAGGCTGCCAAATCGGTTGGGAAGTCTCTCAGCATCACGCTGTATTTTTAGACATGTTTGTGTATCGTGATCCATTCACTAACAACGTAGAACACATGCCTTATCGTAAGAGACTAAACCATTTCGAACGAATCCCCTGGGACTCAGCACACCCATATGACGTGAAGAAAGGCACGTTCATAGGTGAGCTAAGCCGCCTAGCCACTTTGTCCAGTAAAATAGAATACTACCGGACCGCGATCTCAGATCTATGCTGTGTTTACATATCGCGAGGCTATCCGGCATCGGTTATTAATAACTGGTCTAGACAGTACGCTACCAAAAAATGGGAAGCACGTCTATTGACAAGAGCGGTATCAGAGGATCCCATTCTTGTAGTCAAAACCGAATTTAATACCGCATGGGATTGGTTCAGCATTAAAAGCTTAGAGGATACCATTATGCATAAGCTAAATCGTTATAGGAACGATTTCGTGTCCGGTGTGTATGGAACGCAAAACACACCGGTGTACCAAGATAGATTGACCGAATGGCTCGTGCCCGCTCACGCTCCGGCTCCTGACGTACTCGAACATCTGGGCCTCCCACGGGAAGCACTTTTGATTAGGGACGTTAGTGTAGTAGGCAGCGTTAAAGCCGAGTCGGCCGCGATATTAGATCTTGGCAATTATGTAATGGGAAATGCAAGGTGGCTTGTATCGCGCAAAAGAACACAAAATTTTGCCGATCTAGCATCACTCTGGAGAAATTCCCTCCTCAAAATAGCATTAGAACAGGACGATTTTATTCCTCCTGTTGAAATATAGATATACACTTAGCGTGCGCGCCACAGCGAAGCCCTACGGAGGGTCCCTAAGTGCAGGTAACGCAACCATACGAACGAGGGTGAAGCTAAGTTCGAAAGTCCTCTCCGTCCGGCGGGTTTCCTCCGGGAGATTTGCCTTGCTTTAATGCAAAGGATGGCGGGCTAAGTGGTGAATTGACATCGACCAGAAGGGAGCTACTCCTACTGGGTTCAGTCATGCGCGTATGTTTACGCAACTTGTGCTGGCGGGCACTGTGCATAGTGGAGGTAACGGCTCCCGATGTGTGGTGACTTCCTATAAAGCTTAGCGCCGGAAAAGCGGCGCGGGTAGAAATCTATATATATTCTTTATCTAATTTTAATGCTTCGGACACTTTTAATGTTGTCTTTATACGTATGCGGTCATTTTTACGATATGACGCTAGGAGCCAGAGATGGCTGTACGGAACTGATCGGTTCCCGTACATGGCTTTTTCAAGGAAGCCCCCCTAAGCCTAACTAACTTAACCTAACTTCCTAAGCCCTAACCCTAACTAGCCTAACCGCCTTACGGTCTAACTAACCGTTGTTTAAAAATACGTAACGTTATTAATAGTTCTTCTATTCGTAATCAGGTCCTTGTGACAGATGTCACGTGACCGGTTGTCGTTCCGATATTTGTTTATGGAACTTCTATTACGTAATAGGTCTAGACCTTCGGTCCAGACTCGGATCAAACTATTTTTGCCTCTTACTCATTGTAGATTGTGTACGCCTGTTTACCTTTTTATAGAGTTTGACATCTGTGAGAGATTTTTAATGGCGGCCTTCGGCCACCTGCTGCGGCACTAAAAATACTTTTAGGCTTATTAACGTTGATAACATTATTAGACATGATACGATACTTCTTATCTTCGATAAAACCTTCGTACTCAGACACATACTCCTCTCGAATATGTGTGTCCCCTCCTATTTAACCAGCTAGAAAACTGATGAGAGTACCATACTCGAAATACCACCTCAGACTACCTAGTAGCCGGGGGTATTTTTTCTAGTTTATCTCTTCAGTTACTTGTGCGCCCACCAGCGTTTTTACCCCCTAACTAACCTAACTAACCACCATTTTCTAGGTCACAGAAGATGATGCACCAAGTTGTAAACTACTAGAAAATTTTCATGAGGTATCAGACTTGGCAAGCATGGTAGTTGACAATTTTCTATTACCATTGGTCTCTGTTAAGAACATACTCAAGGGTCAAATCTAAAGGGCTTGGCTTCAGCTCATGTGCTGAGCCCCTTACCCCAGTACATGTCCCTAACTTCTGAAGGCTGTTGAAAGATGTCCGAAGGTTACCAGAAGATGTCTGGAGGTCGTTAGGTGATGTCCAGAGTCCAATGTCCAGCAAGGCTGTAGACAGACATTGCTATTTTAAAGGTCACAAAAGATCATTGACTAAATATTAAAGCATCAGCCATTTTTTACAATGTGATAGGCTAAGTATGCATGTAGTCAAACATTAACTTGGAACCAGAGATTCATACCATAACCAGTCATCCACCAGAGCTTCTTCCATCTACATAATAAGACACTACTATGTTATGTTTAGGACCTCAAGCCTCATGTCCAGATTTGCAGATGTCCAAACTTGGATTCTTAGTCAGCAGATGTACTAGATTTTATTAAACCATGGGTTGCATGTAGCCATACATCATCTATCTCAGTCTACTTTGTCATTTTCAAGGGTTCCTCAATCATGCCAGATGTTGATCCACTAACTTTTTCATCTTCCTTAAACCAGGGTAGGATCAAGCAAGAAACAAAAACAGAAGATGTGATACTCCCATTCCCACAAGCATCCAGTACAGTATTGAACAGCTCACTCCGATTATCATCACGCTACATAGGAGGCATTGAGCTCATAGATGAAGACCTTGATTGCCTGCAAAATAAACACCAGAGGATCAATGGAACAGTCATGAATGCATATGCCAATCTGGTATCTATTGAGCAGCACAGCATTTTGACTACAGCTGGATATATCTTGATCAGTTCACTGGTCCCCCGCTTGATACATAGAAAAACTTCATGTGGGACAACTCTAGAAAACATTGTTTCTGTGGTCAGTATGTTTTTTAAGCAGATATTTATATTAAACTGGATTTTGTTCCAACTTCTTAAACTTAGATAACCAAAAAAAAAATACTTGACTCCAGACGTTGGGCTTTTCCTCTATGTGGAGGCAGTCCCTCTCATTGGGTCCTGGGTTGGGTGGACTGGTCAGCCCATGAAATAGGTTTCTTTGATAGCTTGGGAATCCATCCCACTTGGGCTCAAAAAGTCAGTAGAATTTTTAATCCACCTATAATATCTAGGCATCTGATATCATAATTTTGCTATCAGAATTTGCAGCATGCTGCTGCTGGCCTAGAGCATTGGCTGAGATATGAAACATATCCAGAGATCAAATCACTTGAACACAGATTCAAAGACTGGAAGATTGTTCATCACACTCCACCAGATGATCAAAAACAAAAAGATAGCTGGTCTTGTGGTCTATTTGTCATGATGGCCATGGATGGACTTTCAAATCTGAATTTCTCACATGTACATCGATCCAACTTGGAATTCACAAAAGCATTTGCATTGAAGACCATTATGAAAGTCAGGTAATTCTGGCAGCTCAACTGTAGTAATTCTAGATGAATATGCTGATCCAGAAGCTTTAGCCCAGTCATGCAACAGCGCCGTTCTAGAAAACACCATGTTCCACCTTCATCAGTTGATCATGCTGAATCCTCTTCTCCATCTATTGTCAATATTGCCCAAAACAATTTTGTCTCAAAGACCTCTAAAGGTGAAGAGGTTCAGAAGATGTTGGATATTATCTTAAATGCTAAAAATCTGATTGTCATTTGTGGTATGATCTAGTTCATCTTTTAAAAGTTTTATGCTTAAGAAACTCTGTTTCATTGTACACTCTCTATAGGTCCAGGGGTATCTGTTCCTGCTGCATCTGAATTTCCAGTTCATCCTTTTGAATTACTGCTTCCCATAATATGGCAGGTGCATAATATAAAGTTTCTAGATGTCTTTGGGAACATCTTATATATTACTTCTTTTGCAGGAACCCACCAAGTCATCATTAGTGTTCCAGACCATGATGCACCATCTAAAGAGAGCACCTATCAAAAACCTGCTTTATCAGGCTATTCACTCTCTGGACCGCCGTGGCAATCTTTTGAGAGTCTACACTCAAAATATTGATGCCATGGAAAAAACCACTGGACTGTTGTCCTTTGGAGTTCCCAACTCATTTCAGATAGGGACACCTGATTGTCCAAGATGCATTCCATTGCTAGGACGTCTGGACCAGATGTCTTGCACTTCTTGTGACAATGTGGCACCATCAGCCATATTTTTGGATCAGTCTCTCTCAGATGGACTTCCTATATGCACTGACTGTCCAACATTCACCCATAGTTTTGGACATCATGGCATTAGACGTCCAAATATTGTGGTTTGTAAAGAGGAGCAGCCAAATTTGCATTCAGTTCTAGCTCATGATGAGAACCTTGTGGATGTAGTGTTGGCTGTGGGTGTTCATCCTATTCCTCACTCCAACCTTCCTGGTATCACCAAACAAATCACCCAAGCTGCACATTCCAGAGCTCAGGAAGGAATTCCTGCATCTATCCTGCTGAATCTGGATACATCTACTTTGGAGAGAACTGGAATTCAAGATCTCTTCCAAGTATCTTTGGCCCTAGACTTGCAAGAGTTTTTTGGAAGCATTATTCTTGCTGCCCATCAAGATGCCATTCATAATCCTGCCAGCAATACTATGCTAATACCCAGGAGCCTGGTGCTTAATGAGGAAGGAAAGGAAGAAGAAGGTGATGGTGAAGATGATGATAGTAATAACCACAAATTATTGCTGACTCTGACACCTTGGTATTTTCCTGATTTTTAGCTATGTAGCTTAGAGCAAATTTATTTTACTGTAGCATTTTGTTATTTTCCACCAGTTCATAGTATTATGTTGATGTATTTTGTGTTAATGATTGTCAATTAAATCCTTTGAGGATTAATATTGCCTGTTGCAATCTTCAATTGTCAACAGAAATCAGCACATTGCAAATCATTCACTTTGATGTTAAAATGCTGTATTGACTACAAATGTAGAGGATGATAATGATTGTAGCTAGTTTTAGTTTTAGTTATGGGGTTTGCCTTGCAATATAATCTCAAAATCATACTGAGTTTTGCCCAAGTTCAAATTAAACTCATCACTATAGCAAATTTCCAGAAATGAATCATATCTGTCTATCAATATTAGGAGTTGAATTATATCAGTAGATATTTTGCCATTCATTAGGATTCTGATTGCTCATACTAGACCAATCTTTTCAAATTCTATCCTTATTACAGTCCTTGTAGTGAAAGTGCCTTTGGCATATGGAACTTCATCAGAAGCTATTTCAACAGTCATCTCTTCAGTTTTGAAGGCTCAAAATCTGATTGTTATATGTGATCAGTTTGATTCTTTCACATCTCAGTGCATCTATATTAAATCATAGAGTATATAAGAGCAGGAGGTTTAGTCTCAGCAGGAATTCCTGACCTTTGTTCTTCATAAGGACTATTTACCACTGAAGCACTGAGTCAGGATTTGCTAGATGCAAGTGTTTGGCAGGTATTTTTTGGGGGTCCTTTAATTAGTGATCACCAAGATCATTAATCACCCAAATTAACTGCTTCTTATTATTTTCAAGGTCACAGAAGATGATGCACCTGGTCTTAAACTATTAGGAATTATGTATGAGATACTAGACATAGTGAATATGACAGCAAGAGGTGAACTACAACCAGTGATTACCAACATCACTAATCATTCAAATCAACTATTCTTCACTATTTTCAAGGTTACACAGGATGATGGACCAAGTCATAAACTGCTAGGAATATTTTATAAGGTGCTGGACTTGGCAGGTGCAGTAGTAAGGGATCAACTATAACTAGTGATCACCAACATCACCAATCTTCCAAATCAATTATTTCCCATCATTTTCAAGGTCACAGAAGATAATACACTGAGTTTTAAACTTCTAAATTTTTTTTACAAGACACTAGATATAGTGAGTATGCTAGTGAGGAGTCAACTACAAATAGTGATCACCAACATTACCAATCATCTAAATCAACTGCATCACACTATTTTCCAGGTCATAGAAGATGATATACCAAGTTATAAACTGCCAGCAATTTTTTATGAGATACTGGATATGCTAGTCAGGGATCAACTACAACCAGTGATCACCAACATCACCAATCTTCCAAATCAACTGCTTCCCATCATTCTGAAGGCTACAGGAGATGATTCACCAAGTTATAAACTATTAGGAATGTCTTATGAGATACTAGACATGATGGATATCCTAGTAAGGGATCAACTGCAACTTCCAAATCAACTGCTTCCCATCATTTTCAAGGTCACAGAAGATGGTGCACCAAGTTTTAAACTTCTAGGAATTTTTTATAAGACACTAGATATGATGAATATGCTAGTGAGGGTGAGCTGCAAATAGTGATCACCTGCATCACTGATCATCTGAGTAACATACTTTTCACCATTTTTGAGGTCACAGAAGATATGCACCAAGTTTTACACTGCTAGTGATTTTTATGAGGTATCAGACATGGTGGATATGCTGGTGAAAGGTCTGCTACAACCAGTGATCACCAATATCACCAATCATCTAAATCAACTGCTTCCCACCATTTTCAAGGTCACAAAAGATGATGCACTTAGTTACAAACTACTAGTAATTTTTTATGAGATACTAGATATGATAGATATGCTAGTAAGGGGTCAACCACAACCAGTGATTATCATCACCAATCTTTCAAATCAACTGCTTTCCACTACTCTTGACCCTACAGAAGATGATTCACCAAGTTGTAAACTTCTAGGAATTTTTTATGAGGTACTAGATATGGTGAATAGGCTAGTGAGGGGTCAACTGCAAATAGTAAGCATCTGTATCACTGGCTATCTGAGCAACATGCTTTCCACTATTTTCAAGGTCACAGAAGATAATGCACCAAGTTATGAACAGCCAGTAATTTTTTATGAGGTACTAGACATGGTGGATATGCTAGTAAGGGGTCAACCAGAACCAGTGATCACCAACATCACCAATCATTTGAACAAAATGCTTCCCACTATTTTCAAGGTCACAGAAGATGATACACCAAGTTGTAAACTAATAGAAATTTCTTATGAGGTATCAGATTTGGCAAGTATAGTAGATGACAGTTTTCTATTTACCATTGCTATCTAACATTATCACCTGTCCTTACTATTTGTAAGGTCATAGAATTCAATGGACCAAGATTTGGAGCACTAGCAATTTTTCTAAGGCCGCAACCCATCTTCTCCTCCTCTCCTAGTACACAGCATATTAATATTTTGTAATATTGGCTGGAAATCATGTGTTTATAATACTATAGGACATATATAATTGTTTGTGAAGAATGCTAGGTGTTTCAATTGGGTTACACCATCTTAATATGGTAATACGGAAACATGAGATGATACTCAGTAAAATGAGCATAACTCATGTTTCTGACCACTAAGTTCCTTAGAACATAGTGTAATAGAATTATAGTGATCTATTCCATCAGATAGGACACTAAAAAAAATAGGAGACAGAAACAGCAACAGACAGAAATTAGAAAGTGGATATAGAGTGTAAGGGAAAAGATAGGGTTGGTCTGGGGAAAAATAGAAGGTGCATCAACACATATCCAAAAAAGCTTCTCCCCATCATTTTAAATGTTTCTCAAGATGATGGACCAAGTTTAGAAGGACTAGAAATTTTTTGTGAGATGGTAAGCTTGGTACACCCAAAGATCAGGGGGTGGTCTGACACCAGAGGTCCCATGCTGTGGACAAAGCCCAAACAAGTTTCTACCCACTATTTTAAAGGTTTTTGAAGATGATGGACCAAGTTTTGAAAGACTAGGAATTTTTTGCAAGGTAGTAAATCTGGAGGTTGGGGGGTGGTTTGGACTGAAGGTCCCATGCTGTGGAAAACACCCAAACAACTTTCTACCCACCATTTTGAAGGTTAATAAAGATGATGGACCAAGTTTTGAAAGGCCAGGATTTTTTTATAAGGTGATCAGCTTAGTACACCTGGAGGTTGGAGGTGGTCTGGCACTGGATGTCCTACACTGAAGAAAACATGAAAGCAATTTTCTCTACACTATTCTAAAGGCCACAGAAAATGATGGACCAAGTTTCAAAAGAGCAGGAATTTTTTGTAAGGTGTTAAGCTTGGTGCATCTAGCAATGAAGGAATGTCCTTACACCCAAGATCTCATGCTGAGGCAAACACTTAAACAAGTTTCTTCTCATCATTTTTAAGGCCACTGAAGCAGAAAAACGAAGTTTCAAATTTTTGTGAGGTGGTAAGCTTGGTACACCTAGAGGTCAGGGGTGGTCTGGCACTAGAGGTCCTATGCTGCAGCAAATAGCAAAACAAGTTTCTCTCTATCATTTTAAAGTTTGCTGAAGATAATGGACTAAGTTTTGAAAGACCAGGAATTTTTTGTGAGGTAGTACACCACAAGGTCAGGAAGTGGTCTGGATGGAGGTCCTATGCTGTGGCAAACACACAAACAACTTTCTTCACACTATTTTAAAGGTCACTGAAGATGATGGATCAACTTTTGAAAGGCCAGGTATTTTTTGTGAGGTGGTGAGCTTGGTTTACCTGAGGGTCAGGAGTGGTCTGACATCAGAGGTCCTATGCTATAGCAAATAGCAAGACAAGTTTCTTCCTGCCATTTTAAAGGATATGGAAGATGATGGACCAAGTTTTGAGACACCAGGAAATTTTTATGAGATGGGAAGCTTGGTTCACCTGGGGGTCAGAGATGGTCTGATACCAGAGGTCACAAACATCAGCAAATACCCAAACAACTTTCTCTGCACCATTTTGAAGGCCATAAAAGATGATGGACAAAGTTTTGAAAGGTCAGGAATTTTTTGTGAGATAGTGGGCTTGATACATCTGGAGGTCAGGGGGTGGTCTGGCTCTGGAGGTCCTATACTGAAGAAAACATGAAAGCAAGTTTATTCCCACTATTTTCAAGGCCACCAAAAATGATGGACCAAGTTTTAAAAGGACAGGAATTTTTTGTGAGGTGGTGGGCTTGATGTACCTGGAGGTTTGGAGTGGCCGGACATCAGAGGTCACAAACATCAGCAAAGATCCAAACAAGTTTCTCCCTACCTTTTTAAAGGCCACAGAAGATAATGGGCCAAGTCTTGAGACAACGGGAATTTTTTATGAGGTGGTGGGCTTGGTGCATCTAGAGGTCAGAAGATGATCTGATATCCAAGGTCACAAACATCAGCAACCACCCAAACAAGTTTCTTCCCACCTTTTTAAAGGCCACAGAAGATGATTAACCAAGTCTTGAGACACCAGGAATTTCTTGTGAGGTGGTGGGCTTGGTGCACCTGGTAGTCAGGGGTGGTTAGACACCAGAGGTCATAAACATCAGCAAACATCCAAACAACTTTCTCCCCACCATTTTAAAGGCCACAGAAGATGATAGGGTTAGTTTTGGATTGCTAATAATTTTTTGTGATGCTGTATGTTTTCTCCTCCCCCTACATCCACCCATGTTGGCCAAAGATATTGCAAAATTGGTTCAAGACCATGTAGTTACATGACTATGATACATATAGAGCCATTCTGATAAGATTCTAGCCTGCCCAAATAGGGTTATGGCATCCCAATATAGATATTTGGTAGCAAGACATGGCCGGCAGTAAAATGATCATAACTCATGTTCCCGACCACCAACTTCCTTAAGAGTTGGTGCAATAGCATCCCAGTGATATGTTTCATGATCTGAGATAGTCAGAATGGCTAAAGAATGTGGGATGTTATATATAATATATAGCCATAGGGTGTATAATGCAATGTTCAAACAAGCTTTTATAAGCAGTCTAACTTTATTTGTATGTTTTGAAACAGCACGTGCCACCCAGATATTCTCAGAGTCTCACTTTGAGTCTAGTGAATTTTGATCAAATCTGATTTTATAATGTCAGCTACGAAGATGGTTTCAAATAAAAACAAAGAAAACATGGTACACTTACCATAGTATTACTTTTGTTTGGTTTAAATCATCATGTTAAGAATTCATTTATGAAGATGACCTTTCTCATAAATCAGAGATCTACAGATCCACAGTAATACTGGTAGGCTAAGAAAGAGTCTAGGACAGGTGACACCCATGATGCATTCCATGCTCTAAGATAGTAAAACAGATGTGATTAGCACTAAAAATTCACTTCCCAAAGCTTCATACTTGAGCTGTAACATGCTCCAATGATGTAAATGTCATATATGCTGCAGCAGTTTTTGAAACAAAGTATAATGCAGTTAAGAAATCTCAGGCCAGTCCTGCAATGGGTAGAAATCATGACAACAAGTTCATAAATGTGAAACAGCTTATATAATTTCTTGTCCAGTATGTATCTTCTAAGATAATAAGTTGGAATAGCAGAGTTGAATCATGCTACCACTTGTTAAAGTGTTAAAGATTGACTTGATGTTTTACAGCCATAAAGTTACAGCTGGTATGTTATAGAGAAATCAACCAAATAAGTTGAAAAAACAGCTAGATTCATAGAATGATCAAATCTTACTAGATTAAGATGGCTGAAGGTAGAGCAATCAAAAATATTTTTGCTATACAAAGTTTGCATACTGCCTGATTGATATACTGAAATTATGGGTAGCAAATGAAATAATTTAAATCAAATATCTACAAACTCATTGGTCAACTCCAAAATCCTCCCCCATTCCTGAATCCTAATGTTACGATCA